AAAGTAAGAAAAAATGAAGATAAATGCAAAAATAAGAAAATAGATAATAGTAAAACCAACTAACCAAAGCCAGTTCTTGGAAAATATTTTTAAAATACATAATTTTTCTAAGTATTATCAACTACAAAAGAAAAAGTAGAAATAAGTGATGTTAGAGAAATAAAACTGTACAAAATATAGGTGGAGAAGAGATTTAATATAAGAGAACACCATAAATATGTTTTACCATTACCTCAGGGTATCCAAATGGTAGACCAGGAAGGTAAGATTTTACCTATAGAAGTATTTCAGATAATAATCTCAGAAGGAATGATAGAAATTATAGAATTGCCATCCTGCAACCCCTAATGGATTAATGAATAAAGGTGATTATCATCAATAACTGCCAGAATCACCACAAAGGGAGACACAGACACTCTGTTCCTCCTAGTGGAAGTGTACAGCATTACCTCTGGGGTGGTCTTACTAATATACAATAAAAAAAAATCTTAATCTTATCAAGCTTCTACCTCTAGCTATTGATTGTTGATGCTGAGTGTCAGGCATATTGGGTTAATGAACTATTCTCTGTACTGTTGTATATGTTTGAGAATTTTTCTAGTAAATCATTTTTATTTATAAATATCATGCACTGAAATTTGAAATCCAAGTGGAATAGAACAATTTTTTTCTTTTTATTGTACTTTAGGTGAAGTTTTACAGAACAAATAGTTTCTCATTAAACAGTCAGCACACATATTGTTTTATGACATTGGTTAACAACCCCACGATACGTCAACCCTCTCCCTTCTCGACCTTTTTTTTTTTTTGGTTAAAATATACATAGACAAAGATACACCATTTCAAAATTTTCTACATGCACGGTTCAGTGACATCGATTACGTTCTTCCAGTTGTGCTGCTATTCTCACTTTAGATGAAGGTTTACAGAATAAAATAGTTTCTCATTAAACAGTTAGTACACATGTTGCCCTATGACAATGGTTAACAACCCCACGACATGTCAACACTGTCCTTACTCAACCTTGGGTTCCCTATCACCAGCTTTCCTGTCCCCTTCTGCCTTCTAGTCCTTGTCCCTGGACTGCTGTGCCTCATTAGTCCCATTTTGTTTTATGGGGCTGTCCAATCCCTGGCTGAATGGTGAGCCTCAGAAGTGGCTTCACCACTGAGCTAACAGGGTGTCCGGGGGCCATACTCTAGGGGTTTCTCCAGTCTTTTTCAGGCCAGTAAATCAGTCTTTTTTGTTTGTGTGTTAGAATTTTTTTCTACATCCTTCTCCAGCTCTGTCCAGAACCCTCTGTTGTGATCCCGGTCAGAGCAGTCAGTGGTGGTAGCCGGACACCATTTAGCTGTACTGGACTCAGTCTGGTGGAGGCCTTGGTAGCTGTGGTCCATTAGTCCTTTGAACTAATCTTTGCCTTGTATCCTGTTCTCTCCATTCTCCCTTGCTCCCGAGGGGGTGAGATCAGTGGAGTATCTTAGATGGCTGCTCACAGGCTTTTAAGACCCCAGACGCTACTCACCAAGGTAGAATGTAGAACATTGTCTTTATAAACTGTGTTATGTCAATTGAGCTAGATATTCCCCGAGACCATGGTCCCCACAGCCCTCCGCCCAGCAGTTCAGTCCCTCAGGGAATTTGGATGTGTCTATGAGCTTCCATGACCTTTCCTTGGACAAGTTGTGCTGGTTTCCCCAGTAGAAATAGAACAATTTTTGAAGAAATTTAATTGACTGAATTGTTCCCAACAGAAATAGAAAACTTTAATAAAAAATACAAACTGAAACTCTAGTCTAAACTCCACCCCTCCTCAAAATATTCTAAGACCAGCCAGGTTTGTAGCAAGTTGCACCAAATGATCAGGGAAAAATGAATTACCGTTTTATGTAAACTCTTCCAAACCATACAAAAAGATGGGAAATTACTAAACTCAAGTTAACAGGCATGCTGTCCTTGATATAAAGAACAGATAAAGATACCTTAAGAAAGGAATGCTTGAGCCAACCTCACTCACATAAAGGCACCTATCCTAAATAAATTCCAGTATAATTTAATTAAATAAATAGGCCATGTCCAAGAAATGCAAAGATGATATAACATTGGAAGAAACTGTGTGTTGAAATTTCTCTATATTAGTGGATTATTGGAGAAAAGGCATTTGATCATGTCCAGGGGTGCAGAAAAAGCCCTTGGAAGAAAAAAATCAACACCAATTCATGGTAAAAACTTAGCAAAATAACATTAGAAAGGAATTTCCGTTTCCTAAAATCTATAGCAAACTTACCTAAATATAAAATGTTAGGAACATTCCTATTAAGTCACGACCAAGACACAGATATATGGTACCACCTCTACTGTTGAACTGTACTAGAATATATAACCAGAGAAATAAGAATATAAAAATAAATTACAGGTAGGAATATTGAAAAGAAAGATAATAAATGGTGACAATATGATCCTCTAATTAGAAAATTGAAAGGGACCAGTGCACAAAATACTCAAATGAATAAGACACGTCAGAAAACTGTTGTATAAAAGATCACTGCAGCAAATCAAGGAGTGTAGCCATACAGAATCAATAACTAATTAGGACAAGAAATAGAAAATATCCCAATTACAACAGCACACGTCCAAAATTTACCTAAAAAGAAACCTAATAAAAATGTACATAATCTTTTTGGAGGTTACTATAAAAATTACTAATGGACTTAGGTAAAAGAAGTCCCAAATAAATAGAGCAGTACTCTATGTTTAGTCATGTGGAAAAGAATATTGTAAAGATGTCAATTCTCCTTAAATTATTTACAGATTTAGTGCCTTATTTGTAGCTTCCAAGATGGCAACCAGACAAGGGCTGCCTTTTCCTGAAATAAACCCTGGAGACGCTGTAGAAAGGAGAATGAAAGAACAATATTAACAATAGCAAAACAACAAAAATCAGAAACTGCTGGGAGAGACTAAATCTGTGGAAATAGTACTTATGTGTGGGTAGGTAGAGGGTGTGTCCTAAAGTTGAGACAGGTCTGTATCCTGCAATAGAAGGCAGACGATGGTTTGAAGGCAATACTCTAAAGTTCTGCCTTTGCTTCTTCTCAGTGTGTCTTGGGACAATTTCTACTGCTTCACTGAAGCAGCACCTCAGACCACAGGTGCCAGGACCATGGGGTGATATCAGGATGGCACAAAAGCTTGGCGTGGTTGAGGCAGTATGGCTCCAGAGGCTATGCTAATAACCACCTGAAAGCTCTTTTGAGGGTGAGGACTGAGCTTTAAAAACTAATATTATAATTGAATATAAAGAATGAAAAGAGTGAATCATACATAGCAAGGGTAGGTATTCTTTCATGAAAAAATATGTATACACACGCACACAAACACACACACACTTGGTAAAGATATATGTATATTTCTAACTATAAATGAGGGTCAAAAATAAAAAAAAAGTCACTTTACTGGACTGGGCAATGTTAGATAATGTCTAAAGGTCTGGGTCTCACAAAATCACGTGGCACAGCCTCTTCTTAGAAAGTAGATATTTTAGAACCGAAGGTTTCCAAAAGTCTAAGTTTGGCTGTTGAACACACCCCGTGGATCACTGTGTTTTTTCTCTGACAGCCCACACCACCTATCCCGAGCCCCCTGCCTTGTGTTGCAGCGTTCCGTTTGGTATCTAGCCTAGGACTCTGACTCATTCTCTGCAAGATTTGAAGTAGGGTAATAGCCCAGGGCTTTCAGGGAGTTGGTATTTCCCAGGAAGCCTTTAATAAAGACACCGAGAGACGACGCTCTTGCCGCCTCCCTCCAGAGGACTGACGGGACCACCCACCCCAGAATAGAGGGAAACCCCACAGGCCCCTGCCCCTGCTGTCATCCCTAGGAGGCCCAGGGTAGAGCTATCAGTATGAAGTATGAGGTGCCCCCAACTTTTACCTCAAGGGCCTTAGGGAGATGAGAACCTTTGTCTGAGGAATGTAGCCTCAGATCTTCAGAGGGGAGAGGGCAGAGGCCATGCTAAGAGTCAAAGTGAAGACCCTTAGAACTGTGGGACACGCGTCCCCCCACAACCCCCGCCCAGAACCGCAGAACTCCACAGAGCCCCGCCCCACCCTCCCCTATGTCGTTGGTTGGTGCCGGGAAGCCTGAGATATGGCTGTTGGGCTCAACGCCCTCTCATTTCCGTTTTGGGATATCAGGGAATGAAGTCAGAGCTGGCGGTCTCAGGTCAGCAGAGGGAGAAATCCCAGACCCTATACGGAGTCAAAAAGATGACCCTGAGTGAGGGCTAAAGGAACGCCGTACCCCACAACATAGAGGCCTGCACAGAGCCCTACCCCTATGGACCAGGGGCAGCTGTCAAGCAGGGGAGCCTCCTCTTTCCCTCAGGGGTCTCAGGGTTGTGGTGATCATGGTCTAATAAAGGTGGCCTATTGAGTGATGACTGAAAACTCTAATCATCCAGGAGAAAGGGGATGCCATGGAACCTTTCCCCTGTTGTCAATTTTGGGGGTCCCAGCTGGAGCCACCAGCTGAGGAGCCCCTCACTTCCTCCGGGGGGGGGTGTCTCAGGGAGGTGAAGTTCTTGGTATAAAGGGGTTTGCCTTAAGAGCACTACGGAGGAGGGGGTCCGATAGTTGACATGATGATCATGAATGTAAACTGAGAGGATTACCCCACCCCAGAACAGAGGGGGACCCACAGAGCTTAGACCTGCCAGACTCTGCTCTCAGTCCCAGTAAGCCCCAGGCAGGACTGGCAGGATAAAGCCTAAGCATACTCTAACTTCCTCCACAGGGTTCTCAAGGGACAGGCTGATCAGGACAACAGGAGACTTGTGGGTTGCTAGAGACGTGCCCTCAAGGAAAACCACTGAGGCGGCTTTTGTTAAAGCCAAGGCAGTATCTCCCTGTTAAAGGTGTGCACACCTTCTCAGCCTCCCTCCTCCACATCGTCTGCCCTCCAGCCCACACTTCTGCGTCCTGTCCCTGACTACAGTCATCATGCCTCGTGGTCATAAAAGTAAGCTCCGCGCCCGTGAAAAACGCCGCCAGGCCCGAGGTGAGACCCAGTGTCTCAGGGGTGCTCAGGCCACTGCAGCAAAGGAGGAAGGGTCCCCTTCCTCCTCTTCTCTTGTTTTGGAGACTACTCCCCAGAGCTTGCCTGCTGCTGGGTCTCGTAGCACTCGCCAAGGGCCTCAAAGAGCCCCCTCCACCACTACAACTCTTGCGGGTGTTTTCTGCAAAAGATCTGATGAACGTGCCACCAAGCAAGATGAAGAAAGCCCAGGCACCTCACAGGCCTCATCCACCACTGATCGTTCACGCAAGACCCCTCTAGACCAGAAGGCGATTTTGTTGGTTCAGTTCCTGCTGCGCAAGTATAACATGAAAGAAACCATAACAAAGGAAGACATGCTGAAGTACGTCATCAAAAAGCACAAGGATCACTTCCATGAGATCCTCAGGAGAGCTTCTGAGCTCATGGTGCTGGCCTTTGGCATTGATGTGAAGGAAGTCGACACCACCAGACACTGCTATGTTCTTATTAGCAAATTGCAACGCACCCGTGATGAGAGGATGAGTGGTGAGATTATGCCCAAGACAGGCCTCCTGATGACAGTCCTGTGTGTGATCTTCATGAAGGGCAACTGCGCTGCTGAGGAAGATATCTGGGAGGTGCTTAATGTGATGGGAATATATGCAGGAAGGAAGCACTTCATGTATGGAGAGCCCAGGAAGCTCATCACCAAAGATTTGGTGCAAGAAAAGTACCTGGAGTACCGGCAGGTGCCCAACAGTGATCCTCCACGCTACGAATTCCTGTGGGGTCCCAGAGCCCGCGCTGAAACCAGCAAGATGAAAGTCCTGGAGTTTTTGGCCAAGATACATGATACCACACCCAATGCCTTCCCATCCTGGTATGAAGAAGCTTTGAGAGATGAAGAAGAGAGAGCCCGAGCCAGATTTGCTGCTTTGGCTCGTACTAATGCTATAGCCAGTGCACGTATCAGAGTTTCCAGCAGCTACTTCCACCCCTAGTGAAGTCTGAAGCAGTTTCTTCACTTTGTGTTTAGAGAGAGCAGTCAACCTTCTAAGTAGTGGGGGCCTGAGGTGGGGCTATATATCTCTGTTCCTGTTCTTCGTGAGTAATTTCTAGATTTATCTTTTGTTGTTGTTCAAAGTTTTCAAATGTTTCTCTTCAAAAAGTTTTCATTAGCTTCATAATATAAATGTATGAATGATATTGGCTGTGTATTTATTGCTGCTTATGAGATTTAAGAGTAAGAGTTCTGCTATTTTATAAAACAAACTAGGAAACCTTTCATCTTATTTAGTGATCTGGAACAAGAAACGAAGGCACTGAAATAGGCATTTCCTTAGAAGTATGAAAGAAATCAGCAATAAAATAGTTGCTATCAAGAAACAGAGAAAAAAGAAGTAAAAAATGTTCAATTCTTCGCTTCCATTTTTCCTTCTATCCTACTGTTCTGTAAAATTAAAAGTTATATAGCTGGATTTGCTTAGTTTATTTAAGAATGTTGGAGAAATTAAAGTGTAATAAATTAAACCTCTTACACACTGACTCATTTATTCCTTAAACATTAATTGAGTATCTGCTCTTTGGAGGGCCCCCTGATAGTACTGGAAATACTAGGATAAACAAGACTCAGCCCCTGTCCACAGAATTTTGGAGACCAAGAGCAGCAGTCATATAAAGAAGATGGTGAGATACCCTCTAACACATGAAGGATAAGTTAAAAGGAGTGAGGAGGTGGGGGAGGGGCCCAGATGAGAGCAGTCAAGTATAAATGCCCTGAGGCAAGGCAGTTTGGGACTCTGGAAAACTGTAAGTCCTCCAGGGTGAGTTAATATTAAATTAAGTTGGGTGGTGGATCAAATGCAGCTATGGGAATGATGTGCAGGGGCCAGATACTCAAATGAGTGTCTCAGAATTGAGAGGCTAAGCCTGGGATGGAGAACTGCTTTTAGCAGTCACTTTGGGATCACAGATAAACTAGAGAGAAATTCCCACTTGGGGCAGGACTAGAAGGTGTCCTGTGCTCTTGTCCCAGTACACTTGACCCCAAGCACTGACTAGGTGTTTTATGCACATCATCACCAGTAAATTTCTGAGAAATAAGGGCGATAGTCCCTTGAAGTGAGATGCCCAGAAGCTGGTGGACTGGTACCTTTTGTCCCGGCCTAGGAGAGCCAGAGCCCACTCCATTAAAAGATTATTTATTTAAGTTATTTTGGATTATTTGGCAAGCTCTACCTGAGCTAGATATTTGGTGGGGGTGAAATAAAATGAGTCAGAGTCGACTTAATGGCAATGGGTTTGGTTTGGTTTCATCTAAATGCAGCTGGCAGGGAGGGAGGGAGGGAGGGAAGAAGTTGGTCCTTGGCAAAAGTTCTAGGAGTTTTCAGTTGCATCCAGATGAGGAAGACTCTGCAAAAGCCACGTTAAATAATACATCCTCTAAGGGGAAAGATTTACTAAAGTTTTATTTTTCATGCTAATCTACAGCACTGCATATTCTCTGACATCTCCTGGATTTAAAAAAGAAAAAATATCTCAGTGGAGTGCGTGGTATCATCTGGGGGTCAAAATAATCATAGTAATAATGGTCATTCTTTAAAGTCTCAGCGAATGGCAGATATGGTGCCAGGTGCTTTATATACATTACACACATTCCAACAGTCCTAGAAGACAGAATTTATCAAACCCACTTCACAGATGAAGAACCTGAGGAGTTTGGTAATGGGCCTGAGTTCACATGGCTAGTAAGTAAGTGACATCACTGGACCCCTGGTCTGAATTCTTTTATAGCACACATTGTTCCACTCTTCTCAGCCTCAGGCAGTCCTTGTATCCCTTAAATCACTTTTCTTCTCACTGCTCCAAATTGTCTCTCACGCGATAAAAAGGAGACTGTGCCCAAATTAATAAAAGCAGGTCTAAAGAAGGAAGGTGAAAGTGAAGATCAACCACATTTGGGGATTGTCTGTGGGCTTCGTTTGCCCAGATCCTCCTGCCCCTATCCCTAGGATCTTAGAGACCTGACCCTTCCCAGGTGCTAGCACATGGGTCCAGTCCCAGAACTTTCCCACATGACAGTGCCCTTCCCTTGGGTCTTCCCCCACTGAGCCCTCCTGTCCAACTCTGGCTCCTGACCTGCTGACCAGCTCTTCACTGCCTCCTCTTCTGGAGGCTGAACCTGCCCCCAGTGGAACAGACAGCCCAGAGTCACCCGCCCTCCCGCTAACTTAGAGCCTCCAACTCCCTACAGTTTCCACCTGCCTGTCCATCCATTACTGTTGAAGTCCTCTGATAAAAACAGACCCTTCCACATAATTTTTCACTTTAGTAGTGAAGTTTAAAGACCCCCTTATCCCCCTCTGAGTGCATCCATCACACTCCCAAGTATTTTTCCCCCAAATTATCTGGTGAGTAAAGTATGATTTGGTACAGAATCTGCTGGTTTGGGGATATAACCCTGAAGTTAGAGAGGAAGTTTCAGAGAGCACCTTGATATTTGCTGTAGGATGTTAATGGAGTCAATTATTTGAGACTGGTCACTGAACATACACATCAATGCATAAGCTTTCCTTAGTGGTCAAAAACCAAAGCCTCCCCTATAAGTAATAGATGAGGAAGGACCATGGAAATCACCTTGTAAGCAAACATCTATGTAGGCAGGATTCTTAAAAAAACAGAGTCCTTCTAGGAGGTAGAAAATGATTCCTCAGCAGACATGCTATTTTGATAAGAAAATAAAAAATAGTAACTTGTCTGTATCTGCCCCAGGAGAAAATTCTGGTTTTTTATTATGCTTGATGGCATCTTCACAAGTGTTCATTCATGTTCATCAGGTGGTGGGGAGCAGAAACCCACAAGTTAAAATGTTGACCTTGCACCAAGAGGAAGAAGAAAGTTCTTAGCTTATTGAGATTATAGAGGTTATTGCAAAGGTCTGTGCAGAAAGGTGCTGTTGAATGAAGAAAGCTGAACTTTCCCACTGAGATTTATAGGGTCCTTTTTTAAAACTGGTGTGATCCTGTATTTGAAACATCTGTTACGCTGTAGGCACTAGAAAAAAAAAAAAGGAAAATTGCAAGACAGATTTGGCCTTCTCAGAAACTTCTCCAGGAATGAAGAGAGACTTTGTCATAACAAATTATAATAGTTGCTCTTTATTGAACACCTACGATGTAGCAGCTTATGGGAGAGACTAGAAGCGCTCACCCACATCTGATCTTGCAATCCTTTCCAGTTTCTTGGGGACACTATGTTTCTCCAGTCCACTGGTAGTTAGGAATGGTCATATGACTATCCTTGCCACTGAAATATGAGCAAAAGCCATGCTTGTCAATTAAAGACTTTTTTTTAACTGTTTATTTTATTTTATTATTGTACTTCAGATGAAGGCTTACAGAACAAATAGTTTCTCATGAAACAGTAGTACAAATATCGTTTTATGACATTGGTTAACAACCCCACAACATGTCAACCCTCTTCCTTCTCGA